ACATGGGATCTGGACCGGTCCGGATATTCCGGAATATTCCGGTTTTTCGAAAGTCCGGAAGGGCCCTTGAGGTCCGGGGTCCAAATTCGGTCCAGTCCGGTCCGGTGTAGCTATGGCCCCAACTAGGGTCGGACCCACTTCTCCCATTCTCCCTACAAGGCATACAGTTCCCCCAAAAGTATGTCTCGATCAAACCTTTGCCCCAATCTGCCACCGCTGGGATATAATCCCAACCCCAGATTAGAACAGAATCTGCCCTCACTCCCTACAGGGGCAATCGCCTCCCGCCTTGTGATGACCCTGCAAAGGAAAGCTCCCCCCCATCTTACCATCTCGCCAAAACTAAATCATTATTAACGAAGGGAGAGTTAGAAAAGAGGAAAGAAAACTCAATGAAGATGACAAGTGATGATGATGGCGAGAACTGCCCTAGGATGAATAGACTACCGAATAGGTTAATGAGAAGAAGCAGCACAGTGATGAGGAAGACCCAACCCACCATGATGATGTCAACAATCAGCGTGAAGATGGCGAAAAGCGTCATGCGGAATGATTGAATTTACGACGCCCTAGAAGAGCGCGATGATGATGACAGCGCACTGTACAATGAAAAATTTTAATTTTTGTTTATCGCCATTGTGCTATTGAGCGCAAAGCAGCATGATGAAGATAATGACGATGATGATCACACCCATTGACCAGTGATGCTGATGGCATCGTCGGGAACAAAAAAAGTTGATCAGATACTAGCCGCCCAACAGCAATACTGACATGATGATAATCTGCAAGAGACAAAACAAACAATTGAACAAGGAAACAGCCTGAAGAAGAGCAGCTCCACTAATGACGATCTCCTGATGAAGAGCAACTTCCCTAAAGATGACCTCCCTGATGAAGAGCAGCTCCCCTGATGATGACCTCCCTGATGAAGAGCAACTCCCCTGATGATGACCTCCCTGATGATGACCTCCCTGATGATGACCTCCCTAATGAAGAACAATTGCATCCCAGATGATGACCGCCCTGCTGATAAAGATAGCCAACATAGGCAACAAAAAAAGTTGATGAAGATAATACCTGCCCAGCAGCAATACTGAGATGATTATAACCTGCAAGAGACAAAACAAACAATAGAACAAGGAAACAGTCAGAAGAAGAGCAGCAACTCCCCTAATGATGACCTCCTAATGAAGAGCAGTTTCCCTAAAGATGACCTCCCTTATGAAGAGCAGCTCCCCTGATGATGACCTCCCTGATGAAGAACAACTGCATCCCAGATGATAACCTCCCTGCTTAGGTACTAATCCTTCTAGGTAGACTCTCTAAATTGTTGCATGAGTCTGGCGTCCAAAGTCCCTGTACGACAAGGTTCATCCGCTTCTGCTTCCATCAGGGCTGGGAGGTCTGCCCAACCCTGGTGCTTGTCACTGATGTCTGGTCCAAGTTGCCCCCTCAATACTGGTAGGGTGATGGTCCTGAGTGCTGGTCACACTGAGGTAGCACGGTAGGGATAGGGGGTGCGCTGGGACTATTAACGTGGGGATGGGTAGGGTAGGTGGCCTATCCAATCAGGACAACCATTGGCTGCCACGACGAGCAATCACCGCGGGTCTGGTCCTTGGCCTCTACAACACCCTGGGCTTTTAAGGGGAAAAAAAAAAAAAAAAAAAAAACTGGCCTCAACTCAACTGGAGTGCGAGCATGTGGGGGTCTTACCGGTCGGCGGGCTCGGCGATCTCGGCCCTCCATCCCTCGGTGATACAGAGGTAGCCGAGTGTGTTGACACCATCGCCACCCGAGTGAGGGTCGACCCGGTCTGGGTTGATGAAAGGTGTAGTGCAAGTGCAGACGGGAGGCATAAGTGAGGTGATCGTATCTTGCGATCAGCATATAGAAGTTGTCCTTGCGCAATAAGGACAACGCGGTCAGGAGTGAGAGACTAAAGGCTCTACAGGTAAGTGATATGGCTCTCGCAGGCGATCTGCAACACGCAACTATTCATTGGATCTCCACCCTGCATGATGGTCGGCACCGACTGCTACAGATGGTGGAATGGATGGAGGTTGATGGGGGAGCGACCTCGCTGGTTCGCTGGGTGGAGAATACCATGGAACTCATGTTGGAGGTGGTCTGGGGTTTGGAGCAGGGACCCGATCCTCTGCTTTATGCCCTCCTCAATTGGTGTCAGATGGACGATCTTATAAGCCAGTGCTACGAGCTGCTAGATGAGGGGCAGGCTCAGGGGATTGCCCTGGTCAATCGCTTGGGGGGAGCACTGCCAGTGAGCATGGCTGCTCCTGATCAGCTACTTGTCACCCACTCAGGAAAGACAGCGCAGGGGGCAGCGCTGGTGGAGAGCTTGGGCGGAGAACTATCAGTCAACTCAGCGGCATATGGGCAGCCTCCTATCACTCAACCTGTGACGACATCTACAACAGGATCACATATTATCATTGCTATACCGACTACAACATCTACATCTGCGATGATTGCTCCTGGGTGCAGTACCAAGATATCAAACGAACTGGGCGTTTTTTCTATTCAAATGGTTGCTCCGACGTGCACCATGATGACATCTGATGGAACCGGGGTGCTTAACAATCAAGCATCGAGTTAATTGACATTCACAACGGTGAAGGACGCTCCTGTGGGCATCACAGAGATATCAAACAAGTCGGGAGTTGTTTCTATATAAATGATTTCTCCGGCTTCGGCGTGCATCGCTGCACCATCTAACGAAAAGGGGGGATTTTGCAATCAGGCATCGAGCTCACAAACAACAGCATCGACGATACTTCCTGCTGCGGTTGAGTTGTCAACAGTTTTGCCGAAGCCAGCGGGGAGCGAGGCTCCTGTGCTTTTAGTGGGGATATTAATTGCCATGGGGTACTGTGTTAGTCCAACTCATTGGATGGTTCTTGCTCATCAGCAGCAAACTTTCATGTCAACATCAGTCGCGACCAGGCGTATAAAGGGACTTATCATTTGTACACCTGACTTCAAGCACCAACACCATGGATTTATGTGGTTCCTACTTCTCCACGCGCCTTTATAAATAGGGGATGACCAGGCAATCGAATGGCTGATTCTTTGGTTGGCTTGCCCTTCTACTTACCATGTATGCGCGGTGTTCTAAGAGTATAACTATCAGATTTCATGATCGAGGTGCTTGCTTCAAGATCCGCTCTTCTGGATCTATTGTTTTGATTCGTATGCACCTTGATTTCATTGCTCTGTTTCTTGTGATCTGATTCTTTTAATTGGAAGTGTAAAGAATGGCATCGCTGGAATCTTATCTGCCTTGATTTGATATTTCTATTTCGATTGATCTTTCGAATGGCGTTGCTGGAATCCTATCTGCCTTGATTTGATTGTTCTATTTCAATTGATTTGATTGCTCTATTTCGATGTGATTCATTTGGAAGCGTTGTTGCCTCTTAGGATTGTGATTCGCGAGACCTGGCCTGCTAGGGTATGATTGCAACTACTTCGATTGGAATTTGACCAGCGAGGGGAGAGACAGGGAGAAGGTTGTCTGATTGCTTAATACCCCCACCCCCGAGTTTGCATTATTCGAGTAGTGGCTAGCTTTGTCAGGCGTCTTACTCATAGGGTGAGCTGGTTGATCATCCGCTTGCACCCCATCACATCTCTCTATTTGACATGGGCTGATCTAATTTGATTGAATTTGATCTGCCCTAATGGCCCAGGGATTGGATTTCATTTCATCATATATGTTTTCACCTGAACTAACAAGATTTGGCTCCCACATTCGCTACGATACGATCTTCGGGGCAGGGCTAGGTAGTCCACCCATCCTACGGTTTTGATGGGCAATTAATCCCCTCGTACGAGGGTAATCAATGCTGCTCATCTTTAACGCATGCTCATCACATGTCTGTTCAAACAAACCAATTCCAAATATTGACGCTACACCCACTTTCGAGCAGGTGCTACTCCCCACCAATAGACGGAGCCTCCCTGGGAGTGCTAGTCGTGCCTGCTTCTATCAGCACCCCTAGCATCTGCTCGGGCTTTCCCCTGGGGAATAAAAATAAAAAATAAAAAAAGAGAGAGCGGATGGTAGTCACAGTCCTGCAGATGACCAAGATCAGTGATGAACAGAACTACTGGATGGTTCTTCTTGATGACAAAAACAGACTAGGCTCCCTCCAGATGATAAACAACCCAGAAAGACATAACTATAAGGAGGAGGGGTCCACTTCTTGACTATGCTCATAGCCTCATACCACTCCCCCTAGCAGGCTGAAGTTGGCTTCACAAAGCAAAAAAGAGAAAACAATGGAAGAATCACAAAAGAAGTTTCTAAATCCTACCGAAACATCAAAATGGCAGTTCAATCAGGGCCGTAGTTTCACATGCGGATGAAACTCAGGTCAGCAAAAAAGTCACGGCATGGAGTTTGCAAAATGCAGTCTGGTCACGACACTGATTATGGTTGTACTGGACAAGAAAGATAGCTTGTGCACATTCGGTACCAGGGTGCAATGCACGCTGAATGTACACAAGAGATCTTTCCACTCACTGAGAGAGAGAGAGAGAGAGAGATGGGTGGGAGGGGCAATTAAGATTGGGAGAGGGCGCATGACACTTCTGTTAATGCGCCAAGGGAGAGAGAGAGAGAGGAAACCTGACGCTGTAGTCGCCGGACCACATGAGAGGAGTGTGTGTGGTGTGTGTGTGTGTGGGTGTGGGTGTGTGTGTGTGTGTGTGTGAGAGAGAATGAGAGAGAGAGAGAGAGAGAGAGAGAGAGAGAGAGAGAGAGAGAGAGAGAGAGAGAGAGAGAGAGAGAGAGAGGATCGGGGAATGGTTCTCTTAAACACAGCGCACCCTCATTATGGCTATACGTGACCAAAAAGATAAATAGTAGACATTCTTGTTGGGGTTGCATTGTTTTCGGGGGAAGATTGTGCTCGATACAATGCACCCTCTTAAGGAATGTACATAGCCATCTTTCCAATCAGTTACTGCCATGATGAGGGTGCCCTGTGTTTGGGAGAAAACTCCCTTTCCCCAAACACAACTCACCCTTATATGGGTGTAGCTAACCACAAATATCGGTAGTATATATTCTATATGAGGGTGCATTTGTCTTTTCTTGCCTATTTCAAACTAAAAGTGTGCCACAGCCACGGAGAAGCAGGGGAAGAAGAGGAGGACGTTGACATTGACGAAGAAGAGGAGGTGAAGGACGATGACGCGGAGGAGGAGGAGGAGGAGGAGGAGGAGGGGAAAGACAAGGAGGAGGAGGAGGAAGAAGAGGAGGAAGAAGAAAAGGAAGAAGAGGAGGAGGAGGAGGAGGAGAAGGAGGACAACGATGATGAGGAGGACAACGAGATAGAAAAAGAAGAGGAGGTGAAGGACGATGAAGTGAAGGAGGAGGACGAGGAGGAGGAAGACGAGGACGACAAGGATGGCGAGGAAAAAGAGGAGGACGAGGAGGAGGATGGGGAAGAGAAAGAGGGAGATGAGAAGGAGGAGGAGGACGACGAGGAGGAGGACGAGGAGGAGGTCGACGAGGACTAGGAGGCGGACATCGAGGTAGAAGAAGAAAGGGGGGGGGGGAGGAGGAGGTGTGGGGCGAAGGGAAGCAAACTCACCTAGCGCGGGCGGGCGATGGCACGTGCGTTGCGGCCATTGAATCGGAGTTCGGCAACTGCAACGCCGAACTCCACCTACAAGGCAAGGCGAAGTCGCGCGCCAGAGAGGGTCGCAGCGCCTCGGATTTCGAATTTGAAATCAACCCGATCTGGACCGTCAATCTCAAAGATCCGACGGCCCAAATCGGGCCATTTTCATTTTCAATTCTCGAGGCCCCACCGACCTCGAAAAAATTTTCCCTTCAGCCCTCCCGCTTCGCCCCTGCCCGCTTATCGCCCTCACATCGCCCGACTCCCCATGGAAGCGCTCCCCCTAATTTCCCCCCCGATCGGACACAGGGCCCTGGGCGGACGACCGACCGGTTGTCCGATCGGACAACCCCGGACGGACAGGGGGGGTCTGAACGTCTGATCGGGTAACAAACATATCCGTTTGCACTTTCCATCTTTGGGTCGCGTAGAGAGAGAGAGAGAGAGAGAGAGAGAGAGAGAGAGAGAGAGAGAGAGAGAGAGAGAGGCGCATTGCACGACTGGCCGCGTCCATCTTTGCACTTTCCTTCACGACAGCTGGGCAGTCCACACAACAAAAAAGTGAATGAATCTTGCCGCCTTGTAGCGGAAGATTCATTCCCATTTTTCCTGGTAGTCGCGCTAGCAAAAGCGCTAGAGATAGAGAGAGAGATAGAGAGAGAGAGAGAGAGGCGCCGCGTTCGACGTGGCCAACTGTGCAATGCGCTCTCTCTCTCTCTCTCTCTCTCTCTCTCTCTCTCTCTCTCTCTGTGTGTGTGTGTGCCTTCACGACCGCTGGGCAGTCCACACAGCAAAAAAATGAATGAATCTTGCCGCCTTTTAGCGGAAGATTCATTCCCATTTTTCATGGTAGTCGCGCTAGCAAAAGCACTAGAGAGAGAGAGAGAGAGAGAGAGAGAGAGAGAGAGAGAGAGAGAGAGAGGCGCTGCGTTCGACGTGGCCAGCCGTGCAATGCGCGGGCTCTCTCTCTCTCTCTCTCTCTCTCTCTCTCTCTCTCTCTCTCTGCCTTCACGTCGGCTGGGCAGTCCACAACAAAAAAGTGAATGAATCCTGCCGCCTTGCAGCGGAAGATTCATTCCCATTTTTCATGGTAGTCGCGCTAGCAAAAGCGCTAGAGAGAGAAAGAGAGAGAGAGAGAGAGAGAGAGAGAGAGAGAGAGAGAGAGAGAGAGAAAGAGGCGCCAAGTTCGAGGCGGCCAGCTGTGCAATGCGCGGGCTCTCTCTCTCTCTCTCCCTCTCTCTCTCTCTCTCTCTCTCTCTCTCTCTCTATGTGCCTTCACGACATCTGGGCAGTCCACACAACAAAAAAGTGAATGAATCTTACCGCCATGTAGCGGAAGATTCATTCCCATTTTTCACGGTAGTCGCGCTAGCAAAAGCGCTAGAGAGAGAGAGAGAGAGAGAGAGAGAGAGAGAGAGAGAGAGAGAGAGAGAGAGGCGCCGCATTCGACGTGGCCAGCTTTGCAATGCGTGGGCTCTCTCTCTCTCTCTCTCTCTCTCTCTCTCTCTCTCTCTCCTTCTCTCTCTCTCTCTCTCTCTCTCTCTCTCTCTCTCTCTCTCTCTCTGCCTTAACGATGGCTGGGCAATCCACACAACAAAAAAGTGAATGAATCTTGCCACCTTGTAGCGGAAGATTCATTCTCATTTTTCATGGTAGTCGCTCTAGCAAAAGTGCTAGAGAGAGAGATAGAGAGAGAGAGAGAGAGGCGCCGCGTTCGACGCGGCCAGCCGTGCAATGCGCGGGCTCTCTCTCTCTCTCTCTCTCTCTCTCTCTCTCTCTCTGTGCCTTCACGGCGGCTGGGCAGTCCACACAACAAAAAAGTGAATGAATCTTGCCGCCTTGTAGTGGAAGATTCATTCCCATTTTTCATGATAGTCGCGCTAGCAAAAGCGCTAGAGAGAGAGAGAGAGAGAGAGAGAGAAAGAGAGAGAGAGAGAGAGAGAGAGAGAGAGAGAG